GCCATCAGTGCAGAGCCAGGGCTGTGCTGGGAGCCGTTGGAGCTGGCTGGCGTGCTCCGTGATTTCCTCCTCATTCTCCTTTTGTCCTCCCGAGCCCCACTTCTGGTTGATGTAACTTCGTAATAGCTTAGAAGCATTGAGTATAGGCTTGCGATCCCCCCGTACCTAGCAGGATATCTGCATGGAGGATCAGATCCGTTAGGATTAGCTAGCTGCTTCTTGGTTTGCTCCAGCAAGGTGGGCACTCCAGATGATTGCCATGTGCCTCCAGAGAGGAGCCTGCAATCATGACTTAATTTTAACCTCACTGAAGTTCAGCCATGATACCCACCTCAACCCTCAGCGCAGTAACTGCTTCACTAATCCCACCGCAGAGGGAGGAAAACATAAGTCTCATGGTTTTGACTGTACTGGGAGAGAAACGTGTGGTTTGGACAAACCAAAAGCCAAAAAGATTTAAAAAAAATAACATTGAACAGATATTGTTTATTGTGTTCCCAGAGCAAACCCTAAGGGCAGGTGAAGATGCAGTATATTTGAGAGGGCAGAAGGCAAACCACTTGCCAGGTATGCAAAGAAAATGAGAGTGAGATCAGTGGTGGCTGGCACAAGGCAGGAGGCTATTCATTTCTCCAGGAGACCAGTCAGTGCTGGAGCCACAGGCCACCCCAGGAGGGCCTGCCGGGTCAGGGCGTCCTCAAGGACATCAGGCCAAAACATGTAAGATCCCCCCCCATCCCCAGCCAACCGTCCCAGCTCTCTATTGTAGGTCACCCCGGGGGGACACCAGAGCCAGTGTGTGTCCATCGGGCCGCAACTTCGGGGAGAAGGGTTTAAGCTCAGGCTTAATGCTAGCATGCTGCTCATGCAGCCAAACCCCCAGAACAGCAATAGTTTTTTTCTCACAGGGTCATTTTTTCCCCTGGCTCACTTCCCTGCCATGCAAGCACTGGGAGGGCATGGCGAGGAGCAGGGATCACCTCTTTCCGCAGCCACTGCCACACTGGTGGGCTTGTGCAAGTCATGACATGGCAGTCTCGCTTGCTTCAAGCAGAAACCCCCCCAGCTGAGTTTGAAGCAGCCTTGGAGGCAGCAGGAAATGAGCACCGGGCTTCGTGCTGCCGGAGCTGGGACACACTTGCAGACCCTCTGCCTCCAACACCACGGCAGCTGCTTGCTGCCTGTGACAGGGCTCTCAGGTGCTGTCACATCCTTTGGTTTCCAACAAGAGCTGCAGCATCAAGACAGCTCCAGGCATCGATGTGCTGCGTACAGCTTGAACCGCATGGAAACACTTCAGCTGCAGTTCAGTTTTCACTATGAATAAGGCTGCTGTGTGCCACTCAGCATCTTCCAGGCATACGCGCATGCATATCATCCTGCCTGGTGCCTGGGGGGCTTCCAGCCCCTTCCACCTGGCTCAGAGGAAGCCTCTGAGTGGCTGTGCACACATGAGCCCCCCCGAAACCGTTCACCCCAGGATACCTGCCCACCACCAAGCCTCCAACTCCCTCCATATCTCTGGGCAGCCACAAATTCACCTGTGCAATGAAGGCAAGTGTGAGGTCAGGTTTGACGTGAGAGGGCCACCCAGCCAGAGCAGAAATCATGAAACCCTTCTCAGACAAAAGCCCTGGCTGGAGAAAGAGGAGATAGTTGGGCAACCTCAGGCACACGCTTCCTGCTTGTAACGTGGCCATAAATCACAGCATGAACGACATACTGAGCTCGGCTTAATCCCAAGCCTGATTATTATTCCAGTTTTTCCTAACAAGTTTCCTTGCTGTTCTTTAGTGTCCTTTAGGCTTTTATCAGCATCTTCTGAGATGATCAGACACAAGTCTCTGCCTGTCTTTAAGGCGACACCAATCCCCCAAATACTACTCTCCCAAGGTAGGTAGAGGCATGGGAGAAGATGGACTTTATCAAAGTAGGCTCCCCCAAGGTCCGCAGTAGAGGACAAAACTTCAGCAAGTCACAGAAATACTTCCCTGCTCAGCTGCTGGAGGCGAGGGACTTGCTGCAGGATGCAGAAGGCACCCTGGATGCATGTCAGGACATCAGTCGGATACTCTGGTGGGAAAGCAGAGTAACCTGCCTTCTGGGTGATACTGCAGCTTCAAATAAGGAAACCCATTTGAGAAGCTTTGCTGAGTTGATTAAAAAGCTAAGAAAATGCATACGGTGAGTTAAATTAAAGAGCAGAATGGAAAAAGCTGACTTACTTTGGGTCTAACAATAGCTGGAGAGAGCCTTTCCCAAAGGAAGCTGAAGTTGCCAGCAACATATGTGGAAATGTCATTAGTTTCCCTAATAATTTGCACTTGCTGCAAATGATACAATATTTGTCTATTAGTGAGTGAACAAGTGCAATCAAATACACACAAGTTTGTATTCTGCGTGCTTCCCGGGCAGCACTGCAAGAGGTCAGCCCGGAGCCAGCAACGCATGGCCAGGCAACGTCTCACAAAACTCGTGCTGAACAGGGCTGGGATTAAGCCACCACTGCCAGGAGGTCTGGGAGCACGTACTGAGACAACTGGGACCACGCTGGGGTCAGCGCTGCTCCCAAGACCACCTCCAAAGCCTGTCTCCATTGGTTCTCTGGCTGCTCGGGGAGAACCGAGGGAGAAATCAGAGAGAAAATATCCTGAGATTCAGTCTCCAACCCGCTGGATGAAGCACACAGCAAATTGGCCAAGGATATCCGAGGGCAATGTGTGTTGTACAATATTTTTTGTAGCAGCCGGTGCTGTCCTGCTGCAGAAGCGACCGCACCATTCCCAGGGAGCACTGGTGATGGCCAGGCCAAGTCTCACTGACGCTAATTGCCTTCATTGGCAGCACCAGAGCATCTTCACAGGGGCTACATTACACTTCTACTCATTTTTGGAATGGTTTATGCTACCAGAGCAATGTACAATGGCCCACAGAGTAAAATCAGGAGCTCTCCCTTTCCCTATCATGCCCTGCTCTTGCCCCTGCTGCCTGTGCTGGGGGCCAGTGCACTGACACCCCTGCTTCAGCTCTTCTGCACTGCTCGGAAGCGGAGATCGACTCATTATTCCCGCTTTGCAAACTGGAAACAGGGCAGAGAGAGGTGAAACAGCCTGACATAGTCACGCAGTGATACGTAAAATACACCCCAGCCCGAACATCAACCATGTCTCATCCCTCTCCCCTCCTCTCCTTGCCAAGCTACAGATCTAGACGAGAGCTGCAGGCACATTGCCAGCCTGAGTCTCCACCTCCTTATGCCATCCTCTACCATGAAAAGCAGTTTTTAAATGCTACCCTTTGACATTAGATCTGGTTTACACCCCTTAGCCCATGGGTAAATAGCCAACAAGGGTGCAGGATGATGACTCCTGTTCTCCCCCCTGGTTCTCCACAGACCTGAGCTTGCTCTGCAGGCTTTGCACCCCCCCACGGAGCATCCCTGCCTGCGTTTCAAAGAGGAAGGAAAGCAAAATGAATCTGCCTGGCACAGCTCGCCGTGCCAGCTGTCGAGCAATGGCTTTGCATCCCAGGAGGAAATTGGCTGTGCCAAAGCCTGGACTTTCAGGCAGGGACCATCAGCACTACCACTGTCCCCTTCCAAGTCACCCTCAGGTGGGCTGTGCACCCAAGGGTCCTTCATTAGTAAGTGGCTAAGGGGGAGGTGTTCCCCTGGTGAAATGGCGCAGTGAAGGTAGGGCACGCGGAGGAGGGAGCGGGGTGAATCTCTGTGTCCCCACACAGAGGGTGGGGGTCAGCCCTGCAGGGGGAAGTCTGCCAAGGGACGGCCAAGAAACCTGCTGGGGACAAGTAAAAATAACTGTGGGATTGGTGGTAGCTCATCTGGACATGCTGAACCTCAGCAGGCACCGGTGTCACCAGAACCCTGCAGCGACAGAGGGGACAGCGAGCATGTCCCCGACCGGACACTGAAGCCACCCAGGTCCTTCCGCAGGGCCGGAGAGCAGGCAAGGGGGAGTACCAGGGGGATGAAAGAGGAGAAACACCTTTTAGGTGGGTGCTGCAGCTTTTAACGTATTTCTACACCCTCAGCAGCCCAAAAGCAGTGTTGTCCAAATTGCTCTCTATGCTCCCCCGGCCCGGGAGCTGGCTCTTGTTATTTATCCCATCTGCCTGCCTCCCATCTTTAGGACACGTCTGCACTGGATTCGTCCTCCCTTCCCCCCACCAAACTCAATAACAACCAGAAATATCCTGTAATCTCTTCTGCTTCACCTGTAATTTGTCTCATGCTGGCAACGAGCGGAACTGTCTGCCTTTGTCAAGATCAAAAAAGCCACGGCAGCCATGTGATGTCAGCTTACATTAAACCCCCCCCTCTCTCCCCTCCGCCTCCTCTCTCCAGCTCGCCACATCCGAGACATGTCTTTGTCCTCCTGCGGCCTTCTTCCTCCCCCTGGCACATCTCTTGCCATTTGGAGGTGCCCTGGTTGAAGGGGCAGGGAGCCCCAGCCCCCAGCAGGCAGCTGAGGGGGTCCTGGACCCTCTTCCACACCGAGCTGGAGCCGAACCTGGGGACGAGGCAAAGAACGAGAGATGCAGCAAGGTGGACCACAGGTCACCAAGGGACATTGGGCCTCCGAGGGCTTTACATCACTGCACGTCATCCTCCCGCTCTGACCTTGGCATGAGAAAAGCTCAGCCTACATCCGTAACTGCAGTGCTTCTGCATGGGCCCCTTCCTGCCGGTATCAGGGGCAGGGGAGCGCCAGGCTGGGCAGAGGCCAGCCAGCCAGGGGGGCGAGGGGGAAGCTGCCCAGGAAGGGGTAAGACGGAGGTCGGGGCTGCTGGAGCTGCTGCAAAACCCTGCACAGAACAATTTAGCGCGCAAAGGACCAGGGGGACAGCCCAGCCCTGCAAATAAGGACTTTGCTTCTTGGAAGCTTAGGGCTGCCCATGATACCCCTGGAGAGCCAAGGTGAGGCCAGCTGAGACCCCTCTGACGCGGCTTTGAAACCCTCGAGCATCGTCTGGCGCCACCGATGAGTGCCTCGGGCACGATCGACCCGCGGGGCGCCTGGGTACTGCAGGAACGCAGTTGCTTTGCAGAGTTCTACCGGGATTAGCAGTCGGTACCGCGGTTGTCAGTGATTACTCAGGCCGTGAGGCACCTGAACGCCCGGAGGGTACCAGAGCCCCGCGCAAACCCCACCCGAGGTGCCCCACTGCGGCCGGGACACCCCCCCGCGCCTGACTAGAAGCC